TTTTTCTCCCTGTTTTGAGAAATTGAGGTGACGGGGCCACATGGCCCACTGTGTCGTTTGAGTTCCGGACCTGGCAACTTGAGAAACATACCAGGTGTGTATGTGCACCCAAACCTGAAAGGAGAAATGGAGGAGGAGATTGTACCTCCCATGGGGTGCCTTCTCACTCTCGCTCTCTCTTTCTCCAGTTCTCCTGCAAGCATGTGTGCCCTCCGGCAAATGTTTTTTAAAATTGAGGTGAAATTTACATAACACAAGATGAAACATTTTAAAGTGTGCAGTTCGGTCTCACGTTGCATATTCACAGTGTTGTGCAGCTACTGCCCCGGTCCACTTCCCAAACAACGTCTGTCACCCCCAGACTCATTCTTCGTACTCATTAAGCGTCTCCGCCTATGCCCGTGCCCCAGTTCCTGGCACCCATGTCTGTTGGATTGATCCAAAAGCAATTGCGACTTTGGACCATGAATTTTAAATCATCATAACGAGACTCGAACACATCCTTAGTAATCAAAATAGAAACCATTATAGTCAACACATTTTTGCCGACGAGAAATAAGTTTGTTTATTCCTGTAGAGTAAAAATCCGTGCTTTGGGATTCGACGAACTCTTGGAAAGCATCTTCCGCACCCTGCTGGTTGCGGCAGCGTTTTCCCTGCAAAGAGTTGCCGCGATGCTTGGCGAGAGGTCAGGTGACTAGCGGATGAGGCAAAACTTCGTAGCCCAGTTCATTCAACTTTGGAAGCATTGGGTGTGCGACATGTGGTCGGATGCTGTCGGGGAAGAATGGGGCCCTTTCTGCTGATCGCTGCTGGCTGCAGGCGTTGCAGTTTTCCGTGCATCTCATCGATTTGCTGAGCACACTTCTCAGATGGAATGGTTTGGATTCAGAAAGCCGCAGTGGGTCAGACCCCATCGGAGTGACTGTGACCTTTTTTGGCTGAGTTTGGCTTGGGGAGTGCTTTGGAGCTGCTTCTCAGTCTGGCGCTGAGCTGGTGTCGCTGACGGTCACGTAAAATCCATGTGTCACACATCGCGAGTTGATCGAGAAACGGCTCGTCGTTGCATAGAGTAAGAGAAGATGCCCTCCACAAATTTTGGTTGGCTCATGAGACACCCACTTACTGAGCTTTTTCACCTTCCCAGTTTGCTTCAAATGCCGAATGACCACAGAGTTCTTTGGCAACTTCTCACGTAGCTGGAAGAGGTTCAGCTTTGACGAGTGCTCTCAGTGGGCCGCCGTGCCCTCTCTGCTCCTTTGCCGGACTTCGTGGGCCATGGCTCCCTCTGTCCATCAGCAGTGCCCGGGGTCGATGCATTGTTGACGTTATGGGTTGTCTCTGCTTTATGGCCCATTTTGAACTTGATAAGAAAATCGCTCGAATTTGCTTTTTGTCTGATGTGATTTCCAGTCTAAACTTACATTTATAAAGAACAAGTAATGTCATTAGCCAAAAAAAGGTGAGAAATATGTATTAATATGATGTGTAACATATCCTTGTTTATTTAAGAAAGTATCTAATAGCAAATGACAAATTGCAACAACGCAAAAACCATAATTAATTTTGCACCAACCTAGTACTTTTTTCTTTTTTGGGGGAGAGGATTTTGCTATAGGGCACGTGTGCTCTCCAGAAAGACAGAGAGAGACAGAGAGATAGAAAGTGAGAAATCCCCCCCCCCCCCAGCGGTGATGGCCATGCCACAATCCCTTCTCCTTCATTCTCCTCTCGGGATCTTGGGCACACACATACATGCCCGGCATGAATTTAAGCCTTTGGGTCTAGGACTCGAACCGCAGTTGACTACATGGGAGTCCAGTGACATAGCCATTACACCATATGCTGGTCCTCAACCTACTACTTTCTGTCTCTGTGGTTTTACCTATTCTGGGCATTTCATGTAATGGAATCATAGTTCCTGTCCTTGTGTGAGTCCTTTCACGTAGCGTAATGTTTTTGAGGTTCGTTCATGTTGTAGGCAGGCATCAGGACTTCCTTTTTATACCTATGTAGTATTCCATTTCTATTGTATGGACATACCACATGCTGTGATCCTTTGGGCTGTTCCTGACTTTTAGCCATTACAAAGAGTGCTCCTGCATGCTCTCTCACCCAGTGGAGAAGCTGGGAGCCACCCAGGGTGCTGGGAGTCCTTTGTGTGCCTTGTCCCTATTCCGCTGTTCTGTTGCTGGCCATCAGAGTTGTCTGTCCCTGTGCACATCTCATCCTGTCCCCTGGTGTGCACAGGCTTCTAAAGGTCACATCCTCGGGAAGGCATTAGTGGACCCAGGGTTTGTGTATCCAGCCACTCCTCACTTAATGACCAGCCTGCTTAACGGCTGCTCAGACATACGACCGGTCTTTACCCTTGTTCCCACAGTCATGCATTTCGTTTGTAAGTTTGTACTTCATTGTGAGCCCATGATAGGATTCAGAATAAATGAAAATGACCGTGCCGGATTTCTGTTCATTGTGGTGTGGTGTGTCTCGTCGCTTTCCGGCACTAATGTACTGTGTGCTTTCTCTGTGTGGATAGAATGATGGTATTCTAGACGGCAGTGCGTGGTATCCATGGCAACATGCATACTGTGGTGCTACAGCACACCACACATCGTCCCCCTTTAAACCCCTTGTTTCTTGACCAGTTTGCTCGCCGACCGGTCGAGAGTGCAGAGCGCCTGTGTCCTGGGTGACTGGGTGCCGCAGCGTGGCCGTGCCAGCTTGCCCCACCTCTGCCTTTCCTGCTTACTTGGAAGCTTAGGCTTTCTCCTGGTTGTGCGTGAGCTCTGGTGTCAGTCCTCCGGCAGCTGTTCAGGGGCGTTTACTGATCGTCCTGCCCCTCCACTCTTTTTCAGTTTAGTTTTATTTTACTCGTGACGGCGCGTGAGAGAGGACAGCATGATATGCTCTCAGGAGGGCCTCGTCATGCCGTGGTCCCCTGCCCCAGCCGTCCAGTTTGTCAGAATCTTGGCTGCACATACATGTGCCCAGTGTGTTTCAGGTCAGCCGGGCCAGGGATCCAAACCCACAGTCGGCCTTGTGACTTCCAGCACTCCGGGTCAGTATGTACCAGCTGTGCCACTGAGGCAGGGCCTGTTTATGACTTATTGAGCCGTGGGGGGGAGTGCAGGCAGAGTGCAGGTCTTAGTGTTTGATGGTATTTTCTTTTTTAAAGAATTATTTTATTTAACTTTATTTATTTTAATTTGACTAGACAGGGACAGAGTAAGAGGGAGAGTGCGAGAGGCAGAAAGAGGGAGAGTGAGAAAGCGAGTCGCCCGGTCTAGGACTCAGACCGCTGTTGGCCTTGTGGGAGTCCATCGCCCTTAACCACCACGCCACCTGCTGACCTCGACATTTTATTTTTATTTTTTTCGCTATAGGGCGCGTGCGCGCGCCAGAAAGACAGAGAGAGACAGAGAGACAGAAAGTGAGAAATCCCCCCCAGGGGGGTGGCCATGCAGCAATCCCTTTTCCTCCATTCTCCTCTCGGGATCTTGGGCACGCACGCACATGCACCCGGCATGAATTTAAACCACCGAGTCCAGGACTCAAACTGCAGTCAACTACATGGGAGTTCAGTGACATAGCCATCACGCCAACTGCTGGTCCCTGGTGTTTTCTTTTTTAACCTGTTATTATTTTTTTTAATTCTGGGAGGTCACACATGCCCAGTGGAGAGAGAGAGAGAGAGAGAGAGAGAGAGAGAAAGCACCTCCAGTGGGCTGTAGTGGCACTGCACTTCCCTCTGCAGTGTCTCTCCCTCCTGCCAGGACTTTAGGCATGAGCACACATGGGCCTGGTGTGTGTTCCAAGCCCTCAGGGCCAGGATTCCAACCTCAGTCAGCCATATCGGATCTAACTCCTTTAATCATCGGGCTGTGGAGCCAGCTCCGAGGGTATTTTCTTAGACAGGGGTTCCCGAGGCTTCCGGTGAGAACCCAGGAGTGGGGTAGAAGTACAGACAGGACCCTCTTACCTAGACTTGAAGACAAACAGAGCTGGCGTTGAGTCTTGAGTCTACCATTTTAGTCATGTGATGGAGCTGGGCGTCCGTTTTCTTTCTTATTTGCTGTGGGGTACACGTGCTTGCCAGGGGGAGAAAGGGGGAAAGAAATCACCTCCCAGGTGGGATGACCATGCTGCAATCCCTTCTCCATTTTTCTTTCGGGATTTTGGGCATGCGTGCACATGTCCCTGGCCTGTTTTTTTTTAAAGAATTATTTTATTTAAGTTTTTAAATTTATTGTCATTATTATTTTCCAGTTTGATCAGAGAGAGACAGAGGGAGAGAGAGAGCAAGAGGAAGTGAGAAAGCAAGCCACCAGGTCCGAGACTTGAACCGTGGTCGACCATGTGGGAGTCCAGCGCCCTTAACCACCATGCCACTTGCCGGCCCCAGCCTGGCCTGTTTTTCAAGTCACTACAGCTGGGACTCAAACCGCACAGGTGGCCATGTGGGATCCAGTCACCTAGACCACTGTCCCCTGGCTGGCACTGGGTGTCAGTTTCTTATCTGTAAAACGTGGATGAGAATCCGATGAGCTGGGGCCTGTACCTTGGTGTCTGCATTGATGTGGGCGGCCGCAGGCTGGTTGCCCTTCCTGAACCTCGTCTGCAGGTGGAGATCATCTGTATACACGCCCCGTCCCACCAGGATCCAGCTACTTCACCCCCACACACCCTGCTGACCCACTCGGTCCAGAACTGGGTTCCTTGCCCTTAGGTGATGTGGGGGCCTCATGGCCACGCCGACCTTGGTTCCCTGGGTGGTCCATGGTGTCTCGCCTCCTCTACACGGGCTGTTGGCCTCACTCCCCTGGGAAGCCCGTGCTTCCTGAGACCCTCTGCCTCCTCTCTATCCTCCCCAAGAGGGGCAGAACTGCCCACAGGCAGATGCCCTGGGCTTGGCACCGCAGGCCTCAGAAACGCTGAGCTGGAAGCCCGAGGTGGCCTAGCAGCCAGGGTGACCCAGGTCCTTGCTTTCTCCCCGGCAGGTGCCAACATTGCCTCTGGTGAAGAGGTCGCCATAAAGCTAGAGTGTGTGAAAACGAAGCACCCGCAACTGCACATCGAGAGCAAGTTCTACAAGATGATGCAGGGGGGAGGTGAGGCGCGGGAGGACCGGGCAGGCGGGTGGAGCCCAGAGGACGGGGCCCATGCAGGGTCGACGGTGATGGCCCCTGACAGCCTCTCTCCCTGACACCCAGTGGGAATCCCGTCTATCAAATGGTGCGGGGCCGAGGGCGACTACAACGTCATGGTCATGGAGCTGCTGGGGCCCAGCCTCGAGGACCTCTTCAACTTCTGCTCCCGCAAGTTCAGCCTCAAGACGGTGCTGCTCCTGGCCGACCAGATGGTGAGTCGTGTGTGTGTTGTGCCCCCCTTCACCCCCGTTCTGTCCCAGCCAGGCCATGTGGGCCCTGGTAGAGACCCCTCTCCTTCCCCGTCAGGCTAGTCGGCACAAGATACCAGGTCTGGCTCCTGGACCTGCAGACCTTCACCACCAGCCTTGCAGCCTGAGGGTGTTTAAAATGCAGCTTCCAGGCCCACCTGTACACCTGCCGAGCCAGGCTCCTGGGAGGGGCCCCGATGGCACCCACTGGTCCTATTTGGGGTGTGACCGTAGGTGAATTGCTGGGCTTCTCTAAGCCACAGGCACCTCTAGAGAGTCTCCCTCTGTTGGGTCATTGTGGGGATTGGGGGGCATGCCATGCAGTGCCCAGACCAGAGGAGGTGCCCTCTGACGGACAGTTGTTAGACCACAAAGTCCTTTGTTTTATTTATTTTTGAGAGAGAGATTTTTGCTATAGGGTGCATGCACTTGCCAGAGAGACAGAAAGTGAGAATCACCCCCCGGGGGTGGCCACGCCACAGTCCCTTCTCCTCCACTCTCCTCTTGGGATTTGAGGCATATGCACACACATGCGCTTAGCATGAATTTCAAGCTACTGGGCTTGGAACTTGAACCATGGTCAACTACATGGGAGTTCAGCAACGTAACCATTATGCATGCCATCTGCTGGTCCTCCCCACGCCCTTTATAAGCACCAAGGAAAGCTTCTTAAAAGTTAAAACCACAGAGTCTGGGACCTCGATAGAACTGGAGATCTCATGATGCAGGGGCTTAGTCTTGGGCCGTGGCTGGCATGCAGCACGTCTGCAGATGCCCTCATATTTAGGTTAAACCAGTACGCACAGAGGAAAGTTGTCAGATCCTCACAGCGTGTGAGATTCAAGAAAAGCTTTGGGAGATACTTGGCCGCGCTGAAGCCTGAGACCCAGAGTGGGTGCGAACTGCCCAGGGACATGCCCTGTGCATGCTGTTAATTTGTTTGTTTATTTCTTTACTTACTGCCCGAAGGTGTGTATACTCGCCAGGGAGAGGGCAAGAGAGAAAGCCCAGGGGAGCATGATCACACTGTAGTCCTTCCTCTGCTTCTCCATCCCATTAGCATTTGGGGCATGCACATGCTGGCATGTTTTACAAGTCTGTTTTTCTAGCTGCCAGGGAGGGCTGGGACAGGAGCTCAAGTCTGCCACGTGGGATCAGCTTTCTGCACTCAGCCCTCAGCCGCTACATGGCCTGCTACATGGCCTGCTGGGTCATCGGGAATGTCATGACGCGTCTTTGCATAGGAGAGCAGAAAAATACACCATGACTTTCCTGATGACCTAATAATTCGAGTTGTGTTTTGAGTTTTTTTTTTTTTTTCTGTTGTCATTGTCATAGGGAATTGCACTCGCCAGAGAGAGACAGGGAGAGGGAAAGTGAGGAATCACTCCCCAGGAGGGATGGCCACACTGCAATCCCTTCTCCACTCTCCTGGGATTTTTGGCATGCATGCAAATACGCCTGGCGTGATCTTCAAGCTGCGAGGTCTGGGACTCTTAACTGCCACCGGCTATGTGGGAGTCCAGTACCTTAACCACCATGCATGCCTCCTATTGGCCTCACGTGATTTGAGTATTCAAAATTAGCTTTAAGGGGGAACCAGCAGTTAGCGTAATGGCTATGTCGCTGGACTCCCACGTAGTTGACCGCGGTTCCCGACCCGGACCCGGTGACTTAAACTCACGCTGGGCGCGTGTGCATGTGTGCCCAAGATCCCGAGAGGAGAATGGAGGAGAAGGGATTGCGGTGTGACCATTCCCCCTGGGCGGTGATTTCTCACTTTCTGTCTCTCTCTGTCTGGCGAGCACATGCACCCTATAGCAAAAACCTCTCCAAAAAAAAAAAGACAGAACCAGCAGGTAGCATAGTAGTTAAGGCACTGGACTTCCATGTAGTCAACTGCAGTTCGAGTCCCGTAGCTGGTGGCTTAAAATTCACAAGGGGCATGTGTGTGTATGCATGCCCAAAATCCCGAGAGGAGAATGGAAGATAAAGAATTGCAGCATGGCTGTCCTCTCTGGGGGTGATTTCTCGCTTTCTGTCTCTGTCTATCTGGCAAGCACACGTGCCCTATAGTAAAAATCTCTCAAAGAAAAGAAAAAAGTTGCTTAAAGAGCTGGCTCGTGTGTCTGCCCGACGTCCTTTGGAAGCCAACAGGAATCCTGTATCTGGACCCATCTTGTCACCTCTGCCGTTGAGTGTCCTTGGTGCTTCCTCTGCCCCTCCCCTCCCTCTGAATCTGGTTGTCTCTGACTCTGGGTCCTCAAGTCCCATGAGGGTGAAGCCAGGCAGGTGAGGCTCTGCCAGGGGCCTGGATACCTTTCCCGCTGCGGCCTCACCATGGGTCCTGCCATCGCTTTCTCACCATGCCCTCTTTCCAGCTCACAGCACACTTGCTGAGCTCCTCCTTCAGTTTCCCTAATATCAGTTCCTCCAGGAAGCCTTCCCTGATGCGCTGCTTGATACCATCTTGCACGGCCGTAGCAGGTCTTTCCCTTGGCAGGCCAGGGACTGCGTGTGCGTTTTTTTACCCCTGCACCCCCGGCCCAGGGCCTGGCTCAGGGCACTTGGCCAAGTCCTCCTGCTGATCTTGCCGAACGACTTGCTATCCCCACTAGATCAGCCGCATCGAGTACATCCACTCCAAGAACTTCATCCACCGGGATGTCAAGCCCGACAACTTCCTCATGGGGCTGGGGAAGAAGGGCAACCTGGTCTACATCATCGACTTTGGCCTGGCCAAGAAGTACCGGGACGCCCGCACCCACCAGCACATCCCCTACCGGGAAAACAAGAACCTGACCGGCACTGCCCGCTACGCCTCTATCAACACCCATCTGGGCATCGGTAAGAGCTGGGCCTGAGCAAGGTGCGCCTGGGGGCTGCTGGCCAGCTCCAGCCACTGGGTGCCCCACCCCCATCTCAGCTGGAGCCCCTCTCCCCCACAAGCCCGGATGGATTACGCCCGTCTGCACAAAGCTGGGTCTTCCCCTTCATAAGCAGAGCTGCATAGGCCGAGCACCTTCCTGCCCCTCCTCATCCTCACGGCAGCCCTGCTGAGTGGTGGGGGATTCTTTCCTACTTGAGCAGGCTGGGGAGGGCACTTTACACAGCTGCTCAAGACCGCACAGCTTAGCAAGTGCCAAAGCCACATTAGGTCCCGGTCCCGTCTGAGCCAAGCCTGTGTGCTCTGCATAGGGCAGGGAGGCAGTGGGTGGCCACTCAGAGTCGTCAAGTGAATAGGTGCTTGAGCTGGGAACACAGATCCAAGGACTTGCGAAAGCTACTCCTTGGGTGACAGGACAGTGACAGTGCCTGTTTGTCACTGTGTTAGTAGTGAGCCAGTGTGAGATGGGGAGCGGGATCTGGCGTCTGATGCAGTGGGAGCGCACAGTGCAGGAGGAGCCGTGGGCCCAGTGGCCCCTGCCCCTCACCTTGCCTTTGACCCTCTGCAGAGCAGAGCCGCCGAGATGACCTGGAGAGTCTGGGCTATGTGCTCATGTACTTCAACCTGGGCTCCCTGCCCTGGCAAGGCCTCAAGGCAGCCACCAAGCGGCAGAAGTACGAGCGCATCAGTGAGAAGAAGATGTCCACGCCCATCGAGGTGCTCTGCAAAGGCTATCCCTGTGAGTACCCGCCCGGGGAAGGCAGCCAGGTAGGGACCCTGAGGCCCTTTCCAGGGGGAAGGTGAGGCCACACAGTCACACAGAACCCAGCCTGGGCTGCCACAGCCCCAGGTCCCAGACTGTTCATCACAGGCACTCCGCCGAGGCCCAGCTGTGAGGTCTGCATCCCTTGGCCTGGCTCTTGTACACCGAGTCTTCCTTGACCCGCACTCCTTCCCCCTCCTTTCCAGCTCGTGTTTTGAGAAGGAAATGGAGGTCGTCTCTGTTGGGAGTTCCCACCGTGCCCTGACTGTCCTTTGCATTTTTTGTTATTGTTGTTTTTTTAAGTTATTTTTTGCTACAGGGTATGTGCCACAATCCCTTCTCTTCCATTCCTCTCTGGGGAGTTTGGGTATGCATGCACAAGCACTCAGCATGTTTTTCAAGCCCCTGGGTCTGGGACTTGCAGTATGCAGTCAGCAATCGGCCATATGGGACATGCCAGCCACCTTAACCTCCACGCCACCTGCTGGCCTGTCCTTCACTTTTTTTTTTTTTTTTTTGAGAGATTTTTGCTATAGGGCGTGTGCACTTGCCAGACAGACAGAGAGACATAGAGACAGAAAGCGAGAAATCACCCCCCAGGGGGGATGGTCACGTTGCAATCCCTTCTCCTCCATTCTCCTCTTGGGATCTTGGGCACGCACGCACACGCGCCCGGCGTGAGTTTTAAGCCAGCGGGTCCGGGACGCGAACCACAGTCGACTACGTGGGAGTCCAGCGACATAGCCATTACTCTAACTGCTGGTCCCCCCGTCCTTCACATTTGTCTGTGTGGTCCCAAGTGCTGGGTAGGAATAGGCAGATTGTTGGAGACTTGCTCCCTGGAGCCAGCCTCCTGAGCATACCCATAGTTCACAGCTCCTTGGATTCTTGGAGGCTCTCCTTGCGGGCCAGGGCTTCACACAGGCCGGGCTGGGCTTCTGGCCTCTCCTTGTCTCACCTCCTCTGAGATTGAAGTGTTCATAGTGACAGTGGGTGGCTAGGACACTGCTGGCTGCTGGGGACCCTGGAGGGCATGGGTCTCACGGCGCCACCTCTGTTCCCTGTGACTCCCACCAGCCGAGTTCTCAACATACCTCAACTTCTGCCGGTCCCTGCGGTTCGACGACAAGCCTGACTACTCCTACCTTCGCCAGCTCTTCCGCAACCTCTTCCACCGGCAGGGCTTCTCCTACGACTACGTCTTCGATTGGAACATGCTCAAATTCGTGAGTCACTTGGAGGCCAAGGCGGGCTTGGGGGACTGGACAGGGCAGGTACTGACTCAGTACACCAGAGTGACCCACTGGCGGGCGGGCCTTCCAGCAAATGGGAGGTATGAGCTGAACAGTGCCAGTGACCTCACCGGGGTCCCAGAGCTCCCTTTCTCCCACCTCATCGACGCTGACAGCTTGTGCCTCCATGGCCAGCAGAGCCCAGGCAGGGTGCCGCCTCCCACCAGACCAAGGCGGACCTGGCCAGGCCTCAAGTCCCTCCTGGGCACTCGTGGCGGGGCGTGGGTAGCTCTGGCCGGGCCCCCTGCTGCCCTGATTGCAGCCTACACCGTCCTGCTGTTCTTGTTCTGCACGTCCCAGGCAGCTGCCTTCTCCGCAGCCCCTCTGGCCAACCTGGACCCATTCGTAGTGGTTTCTTTCTTCTTGGTCATGGGACCCTGGGTCTTGCTAGGTGGCTGTTCCGTCTCCCTCTTTTAAGGGTCCTGGGGGTGGGTAGGGGAGAGGCGTCCGTCAGCTGTGCCCGGAGCTCCAGAATCCGTGAAATCGTATGTCTTGTTTCACATCTCTTCTGGAAAAGGGGGCTTCCTCGAGCCAGGCTCTGCCCCGTGACAGCGAAGCTCTTGCACCACCCTGCCCCCGCCCCTGCCCCTGGGCCGGGCCCACGTACTCACCCACGTTCTGGTAAGGACCCTCTAGACCTAGCCTTTCCAAGACTCGCCGCTTGGCCGGAAGTGCAGGAGGTTGAGCCTCAGCTGTGCTCTCTCTGTCCCTTCCAGGTGCCCGGCGCCCCTGGGCACCCAGGGCCCCTCAGATAGGCCTGTGGAGGAGGTGGAGGAGCTGCCCCCAAAAAACTACTGGCCCGTGGTCTGGACTCCAGGGCCTCAGTTCTGACATCGCCAGGTGTGCCTGAGTCCATCGGGGCCAGGCCTGAGGAGCAGCCCCTGGGGTAGTGGGGGTGACCTCATGTTGCAGAGAAGGGGCCAAGCACTGGAAGGCCATGCAGAAACGGCCCTGCCATGGGGTTTGAGGGAATGAACCAGCCGCCTAAGGGCCAGGACAGAGCTTGAAGGAGGGTGATGACCACTCCCCTAGGAGGGGCTTGGCCCAAGGCCAGACTCCGTCAGCAGCCTCTGTAACAAACCTGAACTCATTAAATGTCTCCCCTGCTTCACCCTGGTGTGCCTTTCCTTTCCTGGCGGGGCCCCCGTCCCTCTGCCAGATGCCCAGGACTGAGGCCTTGTTCTCTTGGACGCCAAGGTCAGCGGGTTATTCTGGGGCTCCTCTTCTCTCTGGGGCTCAGTAGCTTGATCCTGCTCCCTCAGGAGGAGGACAGAAGCAGGCAGAGACTACTTTCACAGGCCAGGGGCGAGACCTCAGACGGCCTCCTCCTAGGGTGGGACACGAGATGGACAGCTAGGCACCTGTCACCCTAGACCTTGTGGCTCGGAGCATGGCTGAGGGCCTGGGGTACCTGGGGCCAGCTCTCCTCAGCACGGGGCGCTGGACACTTGCTCGTCCCCGCAGACGCCATCCAGTCGGGTGCTGTGGCAGGCGTAGCCCTTCGGCTCAGCCGGACCCAAGGGTAGGTTTTGCTCTCCAGAGCCCGTGCCAGCCAGCGCAGTAATCCCTGGCTACGCGTAAGCCCTTACTTGTGGATTCAAAGTTGAAGCTAGTCCTCGGACACATGTGCCACATCCCGAGTTCTCAGGTGCCACCGGTGTCTAGCTAGTGGCTGCCGCATCAGCGAGGCGGCCCTGGACGTTTCTGGCACCCCAGGAAGTTCCGTGGACAGTGCTGTCCCAGACGTCTGCCTGGTAGAGCTGCTCGCGGGACTGCAGCCAAGATCACTTCCAGAGCCAGAGACAGGTGCTCCCTGCTCACCGAGAGCCCGCGCTCCATCCCCTTCCTGGGGTCCCTTCGAGGCAGGTCCTGGACTCAGAAGCTGGGCAGAGTGCCCACATCCTTATCTCTGGCCTGTCACCATCACGAGCTTGACCACCTCCGGATGCACATTGACAGAAGCTTCTGCAGAGCATGCATTGGGGACCTTCTGGTGACACCCTTCACCCAAGGCCAGGCCCTTCTGTACCACTGCGCCCTGCAGGACGCGTCACTCGCACCCACCAGCAGACAGGACACCCTACTGGGCACCAGGGAGTGGAGACACTCCCATTGGAAGGATCTTGCCTTTGACCTTGAAGTGACTCCCCTTGACTTTGAAGTGGCCCCTCCATCAGGGCATTGGAATATGACACCTGGACCCGGGATGCCACTCAGACACACAGTCCCTGTGTTCCAAGGTCTAGCCCACTGGCCAGGAAGGACTTCGCCATGGCCAGGGACAGAGGTCACACAACTGGGGTAGCTGCTCACGTGACTTTGATGCGGACCTTCTGTGTTTTCTCGTGGGCAAATAAAGGTCAAGAAAGCTCCCTGGCGTGCGTTTCCTGAGGCGTCACCAGGGCTGGATTGAGACGTGGACAGTAGCTCACCCCGAAGGGCAGGGGCCCCACTCTGTTCTGACTGGCCACGGGGCGCTGCTGCTCTGAGCAGGTCATGGGATCAGTTTCAACCCCTTTGGTAGGGGTGAGGTTGCACCAGCCTTGCAGGGATGGCGTGCCCTGCCCAGAGGAGGTTTAGGATGTGCTCCTGCACATCTGTCGGAGTTGCGGTTGTGGCTGGGCCACGTTCTGCTCGCCCTAGCTGTGTGGGCAGGTCCCGGGGTGAGGAGTAGAGGTCAGGAGGTGGGGCCCAGTGGTCTCAGGCCTGCCCGACAGGTGTCTGGGTGGGAGGTCGGGAGAGATGCCGCCTAGAATGTTCTGCTGTTGCAGATCTGCCTGAACAGTGTCCTCTTGGGGTGCAGAGAGCAGAGCAGCACCAGGTGGCAGAGGCTCCCAGGCAGGGGACGAGCCTCTCTTGGCCTTGTTTCCTCCCTGTCCCAGCCGCCACCTCCCAGAGTGGCTTAAAGACAAGGCTCAGCCCTACTCCCATGTCTTGGCCAGCCCCCACAGGGGATTCATGGGATTCCTGAAGCCCACACCCCATGACCCGTGAGCAGGCCCCCAACTCAGCGCACAGCTCTCTCCACAGATGCGGCCCCCCTCATGCCAGCCCCCTGCCCCCTGTGGACGGCCCCAGGACCAGCTAGGTAATGCAGCAGGCACCACTCTCCCGTGCTCCTCTCTGCGTCTTTCTTGTTTCCTTCTGCTCTAGGGGCGGCTGTGGCTGAAGGACAGGGCCCCTGGGGGCTCGGGATACCCCTTCTGCTCCAGCCTTGTCTATGGTGCCTCTTTTTCTTCCATGGAGTGTCTAGCACCAGTTTCTTCCCCTCCCCCTGAGCTCCCGTCCCAAGGCAGGCAGTCTGAGTGGGTCCCCTAGGCCTCCTGGCTATGGCCTCCACGTACCTGCCAGGAGCTATTGCCAGCTCCGAGGGCAGGGAAGGACGGCTGTCAAGCAAGCTCCTAGTTAGGCACCAGCAGAACTGGGTCAGGTGCCGCTCCACCTTCCTCTGGTCTTGTAGCTCTGGGTCTGTCCTCTGCCCTCTCTGGGCATCCCTGCCTGTCCGTTAGGTGGGCCTCCGTACACCTTTCCTGCTCAGTTTGGAGAGACTGAGGGCTCTCAGTGCTCGGAGGGGCCAAGGCAGGGCCCAGCCTTGGTTGGGTGGGCCTTGGGCTGCCCTTGGCCACCTGGGGGCCTTGGCCCTCCGGTCTGACCTCCCTCTGCCTCTCTGATGCTGCTTTTTCCTGTCTCCGGTGGTTGTGCGCCTTCATTTCTCTGCTGCGTGATCGTGGGTCATTTCTACCTCTCCCATATCATGGTTTCCTGCTCCATGGGGAGGAGGTTGAATGGAGGTTTTCTGAGATGCCCACCCAGTCTCCCCTACTGCTCAGTCCTCGGGGGCCTGGAGGCCCAGAGCTCCCTGGACTCATGGAGCTGACCAGCGTCTCATCTCGCATCCCCGCAGGGTGCAGCCCGGAACCCCGAGGACGTGGACCGGGAGCGGCGAGAACACGAGCGCGAGGAGAGGATGGGGCAGCTGCGGGGGTCCGCCACCCGGGCCCTGCCCCCTGGCCCACCTACGGGGGCCACCGCCAACCGTCTGCGCAGCGCTGCCGAGCCTGTGGCTTCCACCCCACCCTCCCGCATCCAGCAAGCTGGTGAGCAGGGGAGCCGGGCAGCGGGCGGGGCCCAGGGACAAAGGCTCACGGGCACCCACACTGAGTGCGGCTTCCCCTGCTCACACTGCAGGCAATACTTCTCCCAGAGCGATCTCACGGGTCGACCGGGAGAGGAAGGTGAGCATGCGGCTACACAGGGGCGCGCCTGCCAACGTCTCATCATCAGACCTCACTGGGCGACAAGAGGTCTCCCGGATTTCAGCCTCACAGGTAAGTGAGAGACCCCATGCCGTCGGCCCTAATCCCTAGAGCCAGCCCGATGGTGGAGCCAGGACTTGGCCTCACCAAATCGCCTGGGGGTCTAATTGGCTCCCTCTGAGCAAAGTCAGCAATAGGTCAGGGAAGGAACGGGCCCCAGCAGTAGAGCGGGATCCAGGCCTTGCTGCAGGGCCCCTACTGGATGGGCAGTAGGAGGCTCAAAGATGGGGTGCTAAGTGTCCCTGCCATCAAGAAGCCCCCCAGGGCCACTGTCAGCCTTGCCAAGAACACAAAGGGTGGAGAGGAGGGTGAGGGCTTATCTGGTGGCCCCACTTGAGGTGCCACGTTTGGATGGGAAAGTTGGTCCGAGGGAATCTGATTGCCTAAGGAGCATGGCCTGGCAGAGGTGGGCAGGAGGCCTGCCCTTTGTGGCTTCTGTGGGACGCACCTTAGGAATGGACTCATTTTGGTCACTGGGTTGCTTTGGCCCCCGGGGCTGTGTTGTGTGTGTAGAGTGGGCGTGTGGTGAGGTCGTGGGGTCACACCCCCTTTCTTTGGATGAGGGGCTGGGTTGGGGTAAAGCCCTCCAGTGGGGAGAGAGTCACCAGCAGCTGAAGGACATGACCTGAAGCTCATCCCCACATCCCGCTGCCCCACCTAGACAAGCGTGCCATTTGACCACCTCGGGAAGTGAGGAGAGCCACCGTCGGACCAGTGTTCGCTTAGGTGAGTTGCTGTGCACCAGAGACCTAACCTGGTTCCTCCAGGTCCTGCTGGGTCTGCAGGCACCTGCGCCCCAGAGGGAGAGCAGTGTATTTTGGAGGGGCTGGGGGCAGACGGTACCAGGCACCCCCAAAATGAAGGCGTCTCAAGGGAGTTGAGAACCTTGGAGCCTTGCATTGCTCAAGAAGTTGGATCCATGTGGCAGCTGTGGTTTGAATCCCTGGCTGGGCACGCATGCAAGTGCCCAGTGCCAATGTTACAGGAAAGGGTCGCAGCAGGACCAGACCCTGTGGAAGGTGCTTCTCTTTGCTCTCTCCCCACGTCTCTCAGATATGTGCATACACTTTCATGAGCAAAGAGGAAAAAAAAAAACTTTGGCTCCTGCTAGACCCGTGGCTATGGCTTCCTCTGTGTAAGCCCAGCCCTATGTGGGTTAGTGTCCACGAGAAAACCCTCCCCTGCCCATGTCTGCCTGTAGGTCAGTCTTTAATTCTATCTTGCCCTAACATTCTGGAACGTTGGTTCCAAGCAGAGGTAGGGCTGTGGCCCACACTCTGACCCCTACCCAGGGCTCAGCCCAGTCTCAGCCTTGGGGCTGTTAAACACGTGAATTTACACAAAGCACTGAGAATAGGGCAGTTCTCATGAGCTCACCTGCTGGTGAAGGCCCTCGGTGACTTCTGCAAGCCCAGGAGGCCCTCTGGCCAGTGTGAGCCACAGTGGGCCTTCCATGGTCGCGTGAGGCCTTGAGGCTTGGCTCTGGGGCCTGGCTTGGGAAGGAGAGGTGGGGGGGGGTTCTTGGCAGAGGTGTGGAGAAGATCAGCATCCCTGGGGAGTAGGTAGGCAGCACTGTACACTTTCAGGGAGTCAGTCTGACACAGGATGTCCTGAGCATGATTCACTTCGCAGAAATTCACCCGCAGGTAGATCTGGGGGGTGAAACAGCTTATTCTCAGCCAGGCCCAGGGCCGGGAACCAGTTCACTGCCCAAGGCTGGTGGGGCAGGTGCGTGGCCAGGGCTGCTCTCCAGGGAGCGTCCGCCTGTGTCCTTCCCATGGAACTGGAGCCCCTACTGCATGCTGGGCTTTGAGCCAGGCCCTGGGTCCCTGGAGAGGGCGATTGCAGGACAAGGAGAGCTTAAGGGGGTCTGGTAGCTGCACCTGATCTGTCTTCTCTCTTCCCCTCCCAGTGTCTTCACTGTATTTTCTTTTAAAAAACAAGACTTTAAAAAAAATGGAAAAAAAAAACTCAAAAGAACAAAAAGAAAAAAAAAAAAAAAACCAGCACAAAACCGACGATGGATTTTGTTTTTAATTTTTTCTTTTTTGCCAACGGCACGAAGATGGGATGCTCTCAGCACGGAGGATTCTCGACCCCTGTGTTGCCAGCTGCCCCCAACCTTCAAGCCACTGAAGGTTCCCTGGATGTCGCCAGCCACACGAGCCAGCCACCAAGGCCTGCCCAGCCACCTCTTCCCGCCACCACCCACCAGCCGCCGGGAGGGGCCCTCTGGGTTGGAGATACTGGCCCTCCGTGCACCATTGGGGGTGGCCTGCGGAGCGCACGATGGGGCAATGGGGCAGTGGTTTGATCGGTGAAGGCAGGTCCTGTGGGGTCTCACGAGCCTTGGAATGGAGGACACATGCACAGTTGCCACCCTCTCTGAAATGACAGTGGCCGGCTCCATGATAGGCTCTGCCTAGTGTGCCCTAAGCATTTAGGTCCCTCCACTGCCTCTCCGTGGAGACCTGGAGCGGGTGCGAGGTGGTGCGGGCCGCGATGCTTCCTGTGCGTGTATGTATGTGTTCAACCTGTGTTTCCCAGGGCAGCAGGTGCCCGCCCGCCTGCCAGGCTGACTTTCTGTTCTCACCCCCCTACCAAGGACATGGGGGCTGGCAGTGACCTCCACTGAGGTCACAGAGTGTCCTCGCCACCACCAACCCCTGGCCCGCCCTCCATGCCCGGTCTGAGGGCAGAATCCGTGGACACTCCTTCCCAAAAGCATGCGGGTCTGGGTGATAAATTACTCCCCTGGTCCCGACAGGTCACCCGGGGTTCCCTCTCCCTGGGCTCTGCCTCTCTGAGGACGTGCCTGGGGTCAGGGCTGGGTGTTGGGTTTATTCATCCTTCCTAGTTAACACCTGTTTTTGTTTTTATTTTATTTTGTTTGTTTTCTCCGTGTGTGTATTTCCTAATTTATTTACCTCTGTTTCCCCTTTTTCCTTTTTTTTTTTTTTTAATTAAAGAGCAAAGCTTTTTATTACTTTGTAATTTAAAAAACTGAAAAAAAAATACTGAAGAACTTTGGGGGGAATTTTGTACTTTTTTCCTGT